TCCGAGGCTGTCAGCGCAGGCTCACCCGGTTGTTATGTCAACTGTTGCCATAGTCAATTGACGCTGGCCGGATTCGGCCCCAACGTTGAGTTCGGCATATGTGTTTGTGGGAGAGATCGAAACATAGCAAAACAAAAAACCTACCGATAGCCGGCATTCAGTGCATTACGGCGCTCCGTCCGGTAGGCGAGACTGCGGTCCAGTTCATCTCGCATCTCTCGGAGCATTTCCAGCTGCAGAAGAAACGGTGCAGAAGGGATGAAGGTAGCTAATTAGGCTGGAAGTTTTGTCATAAACATAAATTGCAAAAACTTGCAGAAACAGAAGTCGAGCCTGCTCAAGCAGATGGCCAAACAGGATTTATTATCGGTTGGAAATATTAAGGAAAGGATGGTTTGTTCCGTCTAAAAATCCAATGTAGTCAATTCTGAGAGTGAAGAGTAGAACAGCGTGAAAATGACATTCTTTTATGCCGATTTCATGCACGTTAAGTGGAAAAAGGGGAGTCGGAGACGTACCGAAAATTAATCTTGCCAACCTTAACCCTAAGAAGTCATAATTGCAAAGGACTGTCAGTTCTGTGATTACTAGGTTTACCTCCTGTGATCAGCACGGTGATTCTTCAGAGAGCCTAACTGAAGTGCAAAAGTGGAAATATGCGACTTGTTCACAATGCACAGGAAATAAGTTTACTTCGACTGAATTCCTTGATAGTATCTGCTTCCTTGCCTTTGTTCAGTTGCCTGACAGCTCTACGTGATCATACAAAGTATCCTGTTTTTAAAGGGCTCACAGGGTTAAGACAGTAACAGTTTGGGGCTGTATATGATCAATTTCATACATACTTTTCGCAGATGTAGTATAATAGCAATATAATAGCAATATTTCAGCAATATGTATATATGCTATTTTATAACGCTTTCCCACCAATCGTCTCATGCGAAGGTCTCCGTGGTCTACCCTATTTAGCTATCTGCGTACCGTGATTACCCCGTCAGCGATCGCATCAGCCGAACCCGGCGGCCTAAATACTCACCCTTGGTTCGACCCACAGCGGACTGTCGAAGATCTGGGCGGATGTTTCTGTTTTTCCAGTCTTGTCGGCGGACTCTGCAATCAGCAAGGAAGAATCAGGCCGCATTTTCCCCACTTGATGATGATCCTGGGGACCTTTGCAATGCCCCTCGTTGGATCACCCCCAAGGTCGGACATTTTTTCTCTTTTGCTCCTAAACCCCACACCTCCCCCCCACAAGAGCGACAGTTTTTCTCCTAAAAAATCCTTAGGAGTTTTTCACTGTCTGCTCCATTTTTTCCACCTCATGACTCAAGACAATTGGCCTCGCCAACAATCTGAGATACTATTTTTCTGCTACCACGACACACATGTACAAATAGGGAACTCAAAGGTAATTTGCCTACATAACCCTCAATAAAATGTTATTGATACCAGAACGCAGGGTAAATTGATTGAAAACCTTAAATATGGTCGCAAATAGTCTACTCACAATAAGCAAATAAACTTACTGAATAAATACTAATATATCAGTTGAAAGCTGACAAACTGCCGTTTCAACGTCACGTGAAAAATGAGCACTACATTGGCGGTGCATAGCCAAAGTGACTAAAATTTGATTGTAACCGGGGCATGAAGCAATCATGGAAGGTTTGCTCGTGAGGCAAAAGACCAAAAGCATGACAAAAAGCTCAGGGAATGAATTTTCATGTTCCGTTCCGCCTTGGGGCTCATGCTCAAGCCCCGCCAGCAGCTAGCCACAGCGGCTAGCATATTGTAGGCAGATGAACCCTGCTCCGATAAAGAAGGGGAGGCTTGCGTGAAAGGAGGAGTGGCCATCAATGGAGGCTTGCGGGAAATATGTGGAATCTCAGGTCAGGCCACTAAACAGTCGCAGATCATGCAGCGGTAATATCGACCTGGATAAATAAAGTGATGTTACGCGGCAAATGCGGACGTCTGTCATCATCAAACCAAACTTCACCCACTGCGGCCACCCAAAACACCGGAACGTTAGCCTGATATACTGCATTTGGGGGGGGGGAGGAGGGGATAAGTCTTCCACCCTTGACCCCGTTAACTAGATGTAGTAACACCTTCAGCTATTCACTTCACACCAGGGTTTTTTCCGACGAACTAAGGCCTAACTGGGCTTGCAGACGACTGAAGAGCTATGGTCATGCTAGCCAGCTGAAACTTAAAGGAGCCGGTGGTGACGAGATGACCGGTTTCCTGTAACAGAAAACGTAGAGGACACGTGAAAAATTCTGTGGTGGACTAGGCAGACATTCAATGGGTGATGCAGGTTTACAACAGTTTTTTTGTTTTCAGCTCACTAACGGGTTACCGTGTCCACGTACTATTTCTCGCGCTCATGGACGTACACAGATGCAAGCCCGTTCGGTGGTAATTGTGAGGCCAGGAGGTGAGGAAAAGAGATAGGAATGAAAGTAGGCACAAATTGCAGCTTAAACATGGCCTTACCGTGGATTCCACCTCGGCCCAGTCCTTGGAAGAAAGCCCGCGCGATGGTACGCCGCTCGCCTGCAGGCGCTTTAATTCAATATCTAAAAGGAGAAGTTGAACTGGTTGACTACTAACACAAGGACTTAGGTGCGCAACGGGTAAAAAGCCCTTAGAACACATAACCATGATTGCGAATCCGAGTGTCGGAGGGGGGCTGCATGGTTGCATAAACTATACGCAGGGGTATCAGTGCAATATAATCGTTCTATATGTCGGACTTAAAACGATTGCTCAACAGGAAGTCCTCTCAAGTGTATGCGTCTCTCGAAAAGCGAGGAAAACTGGAGGACCTGATCAAGCATTCTTCCCTCAAATTCATCCCACAAACCCTGAAATTTACTTCTAAAGGGCAAATGTGATGTAGTGCAGGTCTGACATTTCCCAGCAGAAGATAGTTTCTGAATGGGAAATAGCCATATACGAATAATTATGGCTTTACCGCGAATGCATCTGAGAGAATGAATAACATTTGGAATTCTGTGGCGAAAGCATCGTGAGTAGCACTGTATTCCCCCACTCCAGTCAAATGAAAAACAGATATAAAAGCTGTTTGCAGTGAGATGGGAGATTTTTCGGAGGCTTTTATAGGTTCGTTAGCGGTCCCGGGCATGAGCATCGGGCAAAAAAACACAAACTACCGGATGCAGTAGGGGGCTGAAAG